CCTATAACATTTATCTTTCCTGTAGGGAAATGGTAGATTGATGATAGAAACTATCAAAGGAACATCGCTTCTTGAGACTCGTCACTCCAGGTAGGAGGAGCAAAACCATCAAATCCTATGCATATATGAGGGATAAGGGTAGGGGACGATCCCTAAGCCCCTTAGATTGTACGTCTACGTTGTGGTATATGTATAATGCCTTTATAGTCTTGTTGATATTCTAATAATGAATATGATAGGATTTAAAGTTAGGATTTTATGAATGATTTGAGAATCTAGAGTTAAATGAGATGATTCTTGAGCAATTAATAATATGCTGATATCTTTGAGATACTCGTTAATTGTTTGATCAATTTGATATTAAATTTATGTATTATGAGGGTTAAGATCAATATGTATAAATTTTGAGGGTTTTGGATATTGAAATTTGATAAATTGAGGATGGAATAATGATGAATTGAAATAATTGATGTGTTTATATGAAAGTTTGAGAAAAGGATAATGATTTATTTTTTGTAATTTAAATAATTATTTTTTACGTATTTAATAATTATTTGTACAAAGATTATTGAGGAGTCGAAAGAAGATGTAACATCCTAATTTTTGCAATTAAATTAATTATATATGTTTTATTGTAAAATTTAAGGGGTTGATTTTATAGGATATTTTGATATCGAATTTATATTCTTATATTTGTTTTAGTTAAAGTATTTTAGAATCATGATATAATATATTTTTTATATTATTTTACTATTACTATTATTATTATTATCAGCATCATCATCATCATTATTAAGGGAAGGGAAGGGAAAAGATATGTAATTAGAGTTAAGACTAAGTAATCATGGATGGATTATAGGGAGATTGAGTAGGTTTCAAATTAAAAAGAGAGATGCGTCAGGTGACACCTTCTACCTTGCATGCCATAATACATAAATAATAAAAATTGAACAACATAACTCTTTATAAATAAAACCAAACGTGTTTAAGTATAAAGTATCACATTGTTAACTTAACAAAATAATATAAACAACTTGAATTACAAGGAAATAAAACTAATGTTTTTCAAAATAATTCAACAAACCAACATCCTAATCTAGTTCTAGAAAGCTCCTAACTATATGCCAATGTCACATGTCCTATCAAAGCAAGCCAAAATGAAGCCTAATCCTCATTCTAAATCTTATAGTTTCCTATCAATCGTTAGAGTACCATTAAACTTCACATGGATAGATTCTTCTACCATAGAGGTTCTAGAGTTATAAACTCTATATGCCTTTGAGGTTTCTTAGTATCCAAGGAAGATACTCTTATCCTCTTTAAAATCAAACTTACCAAGTTGATCTTTAGTGTTTAGGATATAACAGTCACATCCAAAAGGAAGAAAGTATGATATGTTGGGTTTCCTTCCTTTCTACAGCTCATAGGGAGTTTTGTTTATTAGTAATGGTCTTATCAATATTTTGTTTTGAATATAAGATGTTGTGTTCACTACTTCAGTGTAGAAGTGTTTTGGGAAATCATTTTCACAAAAAAATGTTTTGGCTATTTCTTATAAAGTTTTGTTCTTTCTTTCAACTACCTCATTTTTTTTAGGTGTTCTTGGTGAAAAGAAGTTGTGAAAGATACTATTTTTTTTGCAAAAATTTTGAAAATCAACATTTTGAAATTCAATTCCATGATCACTTCTGATATTAGTTATGCAAAAATATTTTTCATTTTGAAAACGCTTACAAAATATCTCAAAGACATTAAACAACTCATATTTATGGCCTAGGAAGTATACCCATGTATATCGAGAATAGCCATCCACTATAACAAATCCATACTTTTACCTCCAAAAATTATATATTATCCTAGTTGGACCAAACAGATCTATATGTATCAGTTCTAGTGGTCTTGAAGTGGAAACTTCCTTTTTAGCTTTGAAAGATGATTTCATTTGTTTACCTTTCTGGCATACTTCACGAAGAAGATGAGTTTTCCAAGAAATATCAAGCAATCTTCTTATTAAACCCTTTTTGGTTATTTTTGAAATTTGTTTCATATTGACATGCCCAAGTCTTTTATGTCAAATAAATTTTTCATCTTCTTTGGAGACTGAACATCTTACATTCTGTTTGCTCAAACTAGTTAGATTAATCTCATAGAAATTATGTTTTCTTTGAGTAGTAAAAAACATAGCTTTATCATTATACTTGACTATGCATGTATCTTTGTCAAAGATTATAGTATAACCACTATCACAAAATTGACTTATGATAAGTAGGTTATACTTAAGACTTTCAACATATAAAACATTATGTACAATGGGTACAAAGACATTACCTATCTTACCTATAACATTTATCTTTCCTTTGTCGCTTCCAAAAATACATAGACCTTTCATATGGTTGGAGGTCTAGGAACATAGATCTTTCTCCCATCAAGTGTCGTTAGTAGCCACTATCCAGGTACCAGCTTGAATCCTTTCTTTTTCCCACCAAGGAGATCTACAATGGGAATAATTTGTGTTTTTGGTACCTAGATCTTTTTAGGTCCTCTTATGTTAGTCTCACTAGCCTTAGTTTCCCTTTCATTTGCCTGGAGGTTTTACTCTTTTTTCACTACATAAGTGATAGATTTTGGCCTTTTAGAAGATGTCTTTGGACTAGAATCAAAGCCAAGACCACTTTTGTCAAATGATAGTCTTTTGTGTTTTAAAAGCATGTTTAATTTATAAAACCCATCTACAAATTTTGTTAAGTCCTTCTTGAGTTGTAAGTTTTCAGTTTTTAAAGCTTCTATCTCAGGTAGAACATAACTAGTGATGTCTTTAAGATCTTTGACTTTTTCCTCAAAACTCATTAGATTTTTCTTGAGTTCAAGATTTTCATTTTCAAGAACTTTCTTTTTATTTAAGCTTCTTATACTCAAGAGAAATCATATGAGAGTTGGTAAGTAAAGTGTCATAAGACATTTTCTCTTTTTCAG